CATATTCCTGACTTGGTATAGGCATTTCCTTATGTCGAAAATGGTGGATTAAACCTGGTTTTATAGCTAGCTAAACCTCTCACTTGTATGACAGTCGCATTAAATTCCATTATATTGACAACAATGTGTGAACAAAACAAGCAGAAATAACAGGTAAAAATGTAAAAAAATAGGGGTACAGCAGTCAACATCGTTTTATAATCTTAATCACTATAAAAACAAACAAATATGTCAACAAAGAAAAACAAAATGGCATATAGACAAAGCACATAAGCAAAAATGAAAGACAAGAGTACAAAAAATGATCATATCACAATAACACAATGGCGGAATGTATAAGTACTGAGTCACACCAAAAGGATATTACCAAAAATGGACTAAACAGTGAAGGTTAATCATTTACAAAGACAAATAAATGAACTATATAACACTTAATTAAGAAGATAAACAACGTCAGTATATAGAATCTATACATCAAGACCATCATGTATTATTTGTGAAGATGAGTCGGAATATTTTTCAACTAGGTCTTGGTATCTTCTGGCTTCTTTGATCTTTGTTTTTGACAAGTGTCTGAAGAAACTCAGACTCATATAAAAATAAGAAGAGGTCGGCGAGGAGAGGCGCACAGTTCGTTCCCATGGGAATGCCGACAATTTGTTGAAAAGGTCTACCTCCAAATTCAACAAATATGTTGTCAAAAAGAAACTCCAGCATACTGATCACTTGTTCCTCTGTATAGCATGTTTTACCTTTTTGTTCACTATAAACAAAATATGTTGTATGGTATCCCAAAGTAATAAATATATAGCGTACGCTACCATTTTTATATTGAAATGCATTGCGGATTATTTCTTTAAGACGATTTTTCAATTTCACATTGGGAATGATGGTATACAGGGTTGAAAAATCTAAAGTTTTGATAAAATTCATTTCTGAGAAAGATCGAGATTTAAAATTATCCAGAAGTTCTTTAGAGTTTTTTTAGAATCCACATATGGTTAATACCACTACGCGAGTAAACAGTTTCACAGTATTTCTGAAGACCCTCTTTCACTGCGGACAGAATTGTTGTCAATCTAATGGACAATTCCTTTGTAGAACATGCAGATGAGCCGGCAATGTACCGTTGTTTGTACGGAATTTTGTGAAGCTTAGGTATTCAATACAAACAAGATAAGTCCTCAGATTTGCTGTTCAATGTAATGTTCATTGAAGCCATGGAGGACTAATGATTTGCCAAAATCTCATCCTTGTCAAATGATATGTTTTTGTATGTGGGATTACCTGAGTGCTCATTTATTCCTAATTCTTTTACAAGACACTCGTAGTAGTACGATTTACATACAAAGACAATATTATTTGAATCTTTGTCCGCAGGAACAACAAGATATCTATCGTGAAGAGATGATAGACATTTCACAGCTTCTTTGTCTCTGAAAACAGACTTTAAACGATCAGTCACACAGTTCTTCAACTTATGAATTCGACGTTTTATCAGAGACCTGATTGTTTTGACCCATTCTGACAAAGTGTCCAGTTCAACTTCTCGTTTAGCCCATGCTCTGGCGTAGTCCTCAATGGAATCCATAATTATTTTGAAGTTATGGTTCCAATTAATGTGTTGGGGGTTCTCTGAACTTAGGACCAATAACAAGAAATGGAAAGAAACCACAGTTATGTATACTTTACAGCAAAACACAAGCGTTTTATTTGAAACATCTATAGCACCAGTATCATACGGGAAACAGACTACAGAATCCAAAATTTTATTTGACGAAGGTGCCCAACGTTTATTTTTTACCCAGAGCATAACTAGTAAATTACAGATAAGATCCACAGGAAGGAAACAATTGAATTGTCAGCTTTTGGAGACAAGGAGAAGAATATACGACATTTGGATACAGCAACCGTTCAACTACAAACTTCCAAAAGTGAAATTGTAAGTACTAATGCATTGATTGCTCCAGATATTGCAGTCCCACTTCAAAACCAGATGAAATACGCAACACGCAAAACCCGCACACCATGTAAACATTGATGATAGCTTTGAAATATCATTCTTGATTGGAGCAGACTATCATTGGGATATAGTACAAGATCATGTGATCAGAGGCAACGGGCATATAGCCTTCGCAACAAAAATTGAATACTTGCTATCTAGACCAATAACAAGAAAAAGAAAGAACATGTTAACTTCATCCATACTTTTGAATGTTATTGCGCCACATCATGCAAAGAAAAACGACATTGAGAAGTTTTGGAATCTAGAATCTCAGGGAATACGTTTACCACAACATGATGATGAGGAGAGATATACCAAGACTTATAAACAGAGACACCGACAAGAATTCGATCAAAACGAAATGCATCTGTGCGAGCTTGAGAGAACATTACAAAATAGACAACCAAAATTGTAAAACTGTTGGACAACTATGTGTATTTGAATTGACTTCGTTAAAAGTGCAAGTCATTAATAAGTGAATCATTTGAATTTGTTTTAGAAAGACCATTAATGTTTTAAGTTTCAGTAATATTTATTCGATAGACATTCAAAGTAATTATTATTTTATATTTTAGCTTTCGCCGGCCTCGAGAATGTCTGGAATTTAGCGCGATTTTATACATGTAGACGTTGCTAACTGACACTAATGTATTTTTATCTTGACGTGACTTATATGGCAATGGCTAGACGATGAATAAACACGGTCTATACACAACGCATTTATCTACTTACCAAACAAAGGGGTATTGAGCTAATGACACCCCAGGGACTAAAAGTCCACCAGCAGCGGTATCGACCCAGTGATCTATCGCGTTGCTTTTCTTACTTTTAACATTTTCAACCACTGTCTCGTTGCTTTTTGTTTTTTCTGTTTTCATTATTTGTAACTACGTCTTGATACTATCGTATTTCTTTAGTTTTATAAGCTTTAACAATGTCCTTGCTATATTGATTTTTTGGTTTTATTATCTGTAAACCTGTCTTCTTGTCTTTATTACTCAGTTTTATCATTTGTAATCCTGTCTCGTCTTTTTTTTTTATTTCTCTGTTTTTATTATCTGTAACCATGTCTCTGTGCTTTTTTCTTCATTTTATATTTATAACCCTGTCCCGTTGATTATGTACAACTCTGATTTTGATATCTGTAACTCTGTCTCGTTTCTATCTTAATTTTTTGGTTTTATTGTCTGTAAACCTGTCTCGCTCTGTTTCATTATTTGTAGCCTTTACTCGTTGATTTGTTTTTATTTCTCTGTTTTTATTATCAGTAAACATTTCGTTTATATCTATTTATCTATGTATATCATCTGTAACCATGTCTCTGTGCTTTTTCTCCATTTTTTATCTGTAACTCGTTTATTTCTATATATATTCATTATCTATAACTATGTTTCGTTGTTTATGAAATCTTTCCTCCTCACATTGTCCAATTGATTTGTACACATCAAGATAAGCAAACAGTATTACCATAAAAAGAACACCGAAAATAGGTAGACTAAGTGCCAAATTCCCCTGAATTAATTTCACACCATGTCGTATTTAAAAAGAGTTTCAATATTTATAAAAGTCGTAGTTCCGTTTATGTACATGTACATAAGTTTTAACAATAGTGTAGATTATTTCTCAACAGATCAAAACATTATAAACGCCTAAAAATAGCCCCGAAACACAATTTTGACAGATTTGGCAGATTTTGAGAAATTATAAAAAAAATAATAAGGACATCGCTCTTCTGTTTAAAAATAACAAGTTCTTTTTTAAAATACTTTTATTAATTGATAGTATATAAGTAATGGAAATTAAAAAGTAGAAAAAAATGACAGGTCCGTGGCCTTGCTTTTGAGATATAAAAAAAAATTTGGTGGGAAATGGTTCTCTCTAGATTTAACATACATTTAACATTGGGAAAAACTATGAAAAAATAACAACAATTTTTATAAAATTTAAAAAGCGGCTTTAAAAACAATATGTAATAAAATTATGTGAAGAAAAGTAAAGTAGAGCGTGCAAAATTTGTATTGGCAATATATGGCTAAAACTACGGGATTCCGAATATTTGACAAAAAGTCAAAAACAGGAGTAGCGAACATCCTTAACTAAAACAAAATTCAAAGTTATGCTGGAAGTGAAGCTATATATTGCCTTTCAGATACAAATTAATTTATTTTTTGATAGCGACGTCCTTCGATGCTCAATTTTACAAAACATTGGTTTTTTTTTATGAAAATGTTTTAAACAGCATACATAGTATAGCGCTGAAAAACGTTTTGATTTTATGAAAATTTGTAAAATTGTTGAAATATATTTAAAATACATGATAATCTCTTTAAAACAATGATTTCAATTTTCAGTAGGATTTTACAACTTTTAGATTTTAACCCTGCGATTGAAGCAAATACAGGGGAAATTGGCCTTACATCTTTTGTTTAGAAAACACGTGATCGTTATAAAACTTGGACAAAGTTGTTGGCAAATTTACAAGTTGATGGCAAAATGTTGGATGCCTAAATGATAGCAGAACAATGTAAATCTTGAAAATTTTATGTCATATATTCTAAAAAGAACTGCAGGGTTAACTGAAAAGGGGGACGATCGTACATTTCAACTCAATAGTAACTATATATTCTGATTACAACACATTCAAAACTAAGAATTCATTATCCTTTGATATGTATATTCAAATTAGAGGGTTTGTCATATCTGTGGAACTACTTATACAAATATGAATTAACAGAGTAGTGCCGTGAAGGTCAAATTCACATATTTTTTGCGATTTGTTAAAAGAAAATAAAAACAATTTGTGCCATTTGTTCGTTGTCTCCATTTATCATATCAATAAAATAAATACTTGTCTCTCGTCATTTTTCTTCGGTTAACGTAAAAGAGAGGCGAATGATACGAAAGGTACATGCAAACTCAAAGTCGATAATAAAGGTAAAAAGGAATCAGGATATATATTTTAAAGGTATTATAATTAAGGAAGAGAAAAACAATAACATATTTACATTTATTAGATACAGAGATGCAATTTTATTGCCATAAGTAAATCTTATACAAATAAAGAAGCAACACTTGCGTTATTTGTTCGTCAGTGTTTATATGCAAGAAAACTTCCCCAGAAAAAAAATCGTTTAGTTTCAATCTTAAAACTCTCGATTTCGTTTTAGGTTTATTTTACTAAGTATTATGAAATCATTCTAATATTTATCAAAAAGTTGTGTCTTTACTTGAAAAGTATAAGCAAGAAGTATGTGTATCTGTTGACTCGACAATTTCCCCCAACATTTACATATTCTATAAAAAATAGTGTCGCACCTTTATTTGCACCAAACGTGTTTAAGCTTTGAGCACTCTAAATATTTACATGTGTTTTTATTTTAAATAGGCAAACCGTAAAATGTTTAAACTTAAAGAGGAAGTTGACAATTTGGATTTTGGAAACAATCCATAAATTTATCGGTTTCTCTGTCAACGTAAGATTTGTCCTGACATCTAAATGGAGCTATGGTATTATCTGTTAAAATACTCCTAAAACATGTTAAACCTACAAATAAAAGAAAACGAAAATATAGTATAAGTAGGATAACTTTTACATATAGATTATAACATGGCATTTTTCATATCAGACCCCTTATCAACCCTAGGTCATGATATCAGCCCGATAGCCGGAAGTACCGGAAGCAGTTGATAACAAAAGTCATATTTTGACCATGGGCTGATAAGGGGTCTGATATGAAAAATGACATGTTATGTTCTTTTTATCATATACTTCAGCAGAAGCCATACAGACATGAAAACTTTTTTGTATTATTTGTTTTGCGTTTTTTAATAATATATTTTCCTGTTTTCTAATACCTTCTGTTATTCTACTTAGCTATGTTTTTCACTTAAAGGTTTATTTTCCGGAATTTGCAGAATGACGTCGAAATGCTTTGCCATTACGTTAGGTAGCAATACACAGTTAGAAGTTTAGTTTCGCATTATGGCTATGGTGAATCTTTTAAATATGAAAGTTTTTGTACAATTAAATTGATTTTTAGATAATTGAAGAATAATATAGCCTTCTTAGTGGGTTTATATGAACATTTAGATTGTTTTTAGCATGTTTTATAGGCCATTTTTCTGTTTGACAGTCCGTATTTTCCTATCCGTACCGCCCATAGGTCCATAAATTATTGTAGTGTTTATCAACAAAAATTTGACGCTCGATCTTTTCAATTCAATTTTATGGAAAAACGAGCAGAAATGCATATGATTTTTTTTGGACCTCTTGATAGATATATGTCTATGGTTTCAGGAAAGGTATCACTGTAATTGATTGAAATTGGACCCAATTTTGGAGACTTTTGTGACATGTTCACCCCCCTTTTTTGCAATATTTTGTATCAAATAAATGCAGATTGTTGCCATGGTTACACCAAAAAGAGATTATATTTCACCATTATAACCATTAGAAATCAAATCTATGGAAGATTCTCTTTCTATAAATATACACATGCATAACACAAATATTAAGCCTTATTTGTTAGAAAGGAAGGAAAGGAGGGTGTTTAAAAATTATGAGTGTCAATTTCAAGTTTTTTTTCCAACTGTGTATTGCTACCTTAAAGAAAGGGATGCGATAATAACCGGAAGCAGTTGATATAAACCTGAAACAGTTGATATAAACCGGAAACTGTTGATATATACCGGAAGCAGTTGATAAAAAAAGTCATATCACACGGCTTAGACAATTCTTCAAATTTATTGAATAAATATATGTATAAATTAGTTTTATCAAGGGGTACAATTATACCATTATTTTCTACAAGTATATGATAAAAAACTGTAAACGTTCACAATATAAATATTTACAATGATTTCACCCCGAGGTAGCAAAATCACTGTCGCAGATTTAGAATATATGTAGAAAGTATGGATTACAACTCTTTTTGGAGTGCAAGCGATTCACTCGGTTTCTTTTTGTTACCTTGATTTGTTCCTTCTTAATCGATTTACAAGATTTGAACATCGAAAACTAATGTTGCTTTTTTTATATTCAGACTTATATGATATATCTGTAAGACATGATCACTCGCCACCAATATAAGCGAAAATTGTCGAAGACATAACTCCCGAAGTGCTTCACATCTTTTATCAAATTGGGCTCAGATTTCATCACTGTATGATATGATGATTGTCGGATACGACGAAGGATATGCATTCCCTTAAAACGCTCCTATTATTAGTCCCAGGTTTGGTGGGAGTTCTCATTGTTATCAAGTAATCTCTGTTCTTACGTGTCTTTTTCACGTTTGTAAGTAAACATGTTTGATCGCCTTTGATTTATCTCCTTCGTATATTGTTCTAGTACTAATTATGGAGATGTGGCACATTTACATGTTTCGATATAATCCTTATAGAAACTCGTTTCCGGAATCATGAATTTTAGTCTTAAATTATAATTTGAAGCATGATATTCCTTTGATTGACATAAGAATGTCTACGCGGCAATGAAGACCAAGGAAGAGTCAATGATTAGCGATTTTTTCTATACTAATTTAAAAATACTATATGATTTATATTAATTTTGAAATAATTAATAGTTTTTTTGCTTTCAACAATCTAGGACTAAAACTATTTACTTATAGCCATTGCTCTGCATGCAGCAAATCAGTTTTTATAATAGTATACTTCAACAAGGGAAATAACTCGTTTTCCGTTGTGATGTTAAAATCAGATTAAGGGTGTTGGAAGGCAGTTACACGAAATATATATGTTCCGGACCATATGAGTATTTGGACCATACGCGTATGGTCATGACCATATACGTATATACTCATATGGTCCGACCATACGCGTTTGTTTCGGGTTATTAACCAGATGATAGTTGAAATGGTGTACCATGAATTAAGAGTTTCTGAAAATGAAATTTTGATTTAGTAATCATTGTTAATGATTAATGAAAAAAAGATATTTTTACTTACAAGTAAGAATTACAGTAAAATAGAATTTACATGGTTATTATTCAATTTCGTTTGTCCTTACTCAACGCAATATGTCGACTTTGGAAAATAGCTTCAAGAAATATGTAAATGAACTGTCAAATAAGAAGTCAATTGCTTAACTCACAGGAATTGTGGCCATTGAAACCTCTCTCTTTTCTGCCTTAAAAAATTTGTTTATTATAAATTTGTTTTTATTAAATTAAAACTTCTTAAATATTTCTTATTGTTTTTATTTCTTTAATGTGTTATTGCTCCTATTCATGCGATCTTACAATGACAGTAAGATCGGATGAATAGGAGCAAATTCAAATTAATTGAATGAAAATAAGTAGAAATAAGAAGAAATTTCATGTCATAAATAATGATTTAAACAATAAGAAAAAAGAAAAAAAGTCCGTTCCCAAAAGCCTGTGCTTTCACTTACGGAAGAAAAGATCGACAGGAAAAAGGTGGTTTAAATTGATTCTAGCAAGGAAAAGACAAGGCAGATACACCAAGATTGAGACAATATGTAAATGATATAGGACTTCCGAAAATAACTTGTGCAGTTTTTGTCTTAAAGAATGAGTGTGTTCATGCGAATGAAATTAAAAAGTATTCGAAAAATACTTATATGGTCTAAATACTCGTATGGTCTGGCCCGTGAATAACCAAACGAGTATAATACTCATATCGTCCGACCATGCACGTATGGTCGGACCATATGAGTATACGCAAATGGTCATGACCATATGAGTATACGCAAATGGTCATGACCATATGAGTATACGCAAATGGTCATGACCATATGAGTATACGCAAATGGTCATGACCATACGCGTATGGTCCAAATACTCATATGGTCCGGAACATATATATATATCAAGGGACCAACCAGCAAATTAGATATGTACCGGATCGTCTAGAACAGGCAATACTGCGCAGATAAGTACAAAACTATAAAAGTCTAAAGATTTGCGTAACGGTACTTATATAAGATGGTAATATACAAAGATGATGTTATAAAATCGTAGTGACAAATATTTCGGCTGAAGAAATAGCCTTCGTCAGAGTCAATAATTTTAACAATACTAGTTGTTTATGTAAAATAGATTAATAATACAGATACATTTGCACCATTGATTTAATCCAGAATCTTGAACCTCATCAAACAGAACAAAACTCAATACTCTATAAACGTGGCTGCGTATCTATACATCCTGAATTGCCAAAATGCAGTAGTTTGTATAAATATATAGAAAAATAGAAGAGCCCTCTATCAAGTTGTCACATGTTTAGACACATATAAAGGAACAAAGCTAGAATATTCGATTAAACTTATGTGAGTGTATTTTACCTTCTGTTTCGTCACATGGACATGTCTCGCCACACTGTTCATTATACTGAGCTAATAACGGTACACAATGGCCTGTTGTCTGCGGATTGTATGGTCCTAAAATTATATCAAATGTATTTTCAGATTGTTGTCATTCAGTTTTCAACATATCATTATACATTTTGAACTTTACTCTCATGCGCTAAGAGCGCTTTCACTGTTAAAAATGCATTAACTCGGTGGTCATCGTGTATTTGCTTTTCTCTAATTCTTAGTCGATTTATGCGTTGCTTGAACGGTTGATTACTTATCATAGTCATCGTAGGGTTCGCTTGATCTTCGTTACATCAAAATTCTTTTAAAAAAAAACGATCATGTCTGTTGGCGTCAAATAGATAGAAGACGATATTTTTGCAGATCATTGAAAAAAGAATAATAAAGTTTGCATACAAATCTAAAAAAAAAATCATTAGAAAAGAAAAAACCAGATTCTACCGCTAAAAAGTATGAATTCAACAAGTTTGACAATCGATCAATTTGTTATATAATTATTGATTGACTGATTTAATATTGGCTAGGCTCATAACTTGAATTCCCGTATATCATTATTAGAGCTGCAAATATATTGGTTTGTTTTCCTTGTCGAAGACTGTAATAGGACAAATCTTATTGAAAGTTATAATATAACATCTAGGTATTGGCATCTATACATACTGAACCAAACAAAATCATTACGATGTCCAATATCAATTTTATATAACTAAACTAAATGATATTTTAAAGGTGTCAGTTTAGTTTAACTTTATATTGTGTTATTCGTAGTCAAAAAGTATAACAAAAATATAGAACTCCAACGCAAATTCAAAAAAGGAAGTCCATAAAAACAGAACAAGTGAAAAACAACTGCCATACTCCTGACTTGGTACAAGCACTCTCCGAAAAACAAATTTGGGTTTAATCTGGTTTTATAGCTAGCTAAACAACACTTGTATGACAGTTGTTGTAGTTCCGTTATATTGACAAATTTGGTGAGCAATGAGGATCGAAATATGGGTTAAATGAGGATCGAAATATGGGTCAAACGAGGATCGAAATATTGATAAAATGCTGACAAATGAGCGTAAAACGTTGTCTGTTTTGCTTGTTGTTATAAGAAATCAGAAAGAGATGATACTATATTATTATACTGTTGGGAAACCAGAGATACCACCTATTCATTTTGCGTAAAAATTACTTCAAAAAGGGTATATTTAAAACAGGAATAACTAATGATGAAGAAATAGTGTTTTGTATGATGTTTCATTAGGACCGTTACGTCCACTTTTCGTAGAACATTTTAAATTCGCTCTTTAATTAATGTTGTTTTAACTATGAATAAGCTGCAGCGTTAAGATTTTAAACATTGTGAACATGTCATCTTAATAACTTGACTGGGGTTAACTCCAGATATCTATAAGGGAATACCTATATGGTCGAACACTCCAGAATATATCAGGAGTGATCCATTAGTATGCCTGCAGCAGGAACCTGTTGGACATTCTGATGACAAAGTGCACTTTTGATCATGTTGAATTGCTGCCCCCTCTACCTGTAAATAAATAATGTAATGCAATGTATTTAACTTGTATCAAATAATGCATACATGAAGTGGCTCAGCATTATAAAACTGTAATGGATACTTATTTCAAGCAAGGCCATGAACGTCGAATTCTGCAAGTTTAACACCATTAAAAACATATTTACCTGATCCAGTTATCGATCAATCAAATATGAAATATCGTTTTTTTCAACGTTTAAAAACTTACTATATTTCTATGTGAAGCGTTTATGTGCATTTGTTGTGATAAATTATCACATTAAATTAAAAAAATTTTATTAGAAGTGTCTACTTATATAGACCCAATCAGGAATCAATTAGAAGTGTCAACTTATATAGACCCACTCAGGAATACTTTTGTTATCGTTTTTGTGCGTTTAGTTTAGTCTTACAATATCAAAATATGACATTGAGACTCTTTTCACAAAAAACCCTTACGATAAGGAATAATCGTAAGTTATACTGAAAAGTTCATGACTTCCGATTACTTTTTCTCGTAGGAATGTTAGTGAAATGAGTCGCTGGACTTTAAATATAAGACAGAAAACAAAAAATACATAATCATAATTATCTTTACGTAACTTAAAAACAAAAAAGTTTGATTGTTAAATAAGTTAATGTCTTTGGGGGTATACAATAATACTTTTAAAAACATTTTTCTGAATTCGTTTATGATCCATACACTTCATTCCCAAATTGTAGCTTCAACAAAGTAGGTGAAACCATTTAGATGTCATTGTGAGGGAAATATGTGATAAAATCATAAAAGCAGGTTTAATGTAAAAAATTGTGGTTGAAAATATAAAGCAAATGCTATATTCCAGTTAAAGGTTTGTCAACCCTGACACCTTGTTTTGTCTGTATATACCATGAACAATCGTAAATCATAAACTCTTATCATTGGAATTACCTTTTTTTCTTTTAGTGTGAATGAAAATAGTATGGAAATATATTATTTTCATTAACTTCTTTTGCAAGTACAATTCATTAAACATATAGATTAATTGTTGTAAAGAATTTCCTTTTTAACATGTCTGAGTCTTCGACAATGAACTGGCAATGATTATTATAGATAAGTACACTCTTAACAGTCATCATGACGTTTACAGTCCGTTTGATATCTATAAAACTTAAAAAATAATGAATCAAAATTCCAATTTCATAAAGTGTATCAATTTGTCCTATCTATTCATACTTTTATATGAAATCTGACAATGTTTGCCAGAATGTTCCTTCGGTTCCTCCTTACATTGTGTATATTTTCAAACTCTTTCGTTATGTCGTGTTTGTAAGATTGTTCATGATTTCAATGAACGTAATCTATGTATAACTGGTAAATTATTAAATCAGGGATCTCGTTAACACAAATCATCTAAATGCTTTAATAGATACAAATATTTGGTTTGGAATTTCGGAAGCAAGGCTATATCACTAGTGACCTTTTCATAAACAATACATCACATTTGAAATGCTGTTGTGTATAGAACATGTTAATCAAAATACGGTTAATGTAATTGTATTGATCCTTTGAAATAACTTGTTTTGAGATCTTTGAATATTGTTCATATTTTTACTAACGTTGATTGCTAACCTATTACAATGATCCTGCGTCCTTTCGATACTTTGGTTGGTATTTTAGTCTTGGAAAACATAGTTTAATTGGCTTAATTTGAACTAGTTTTCAGTAACTGCAAGTACTCATAGATCGGTAATGTGTGATTGTCTGTTAAGTTTTCAGTAACTGCTAGTACTCATAGATCGGTACTGTGTGATTGTCTGTTAAGTTTTCAGTAACTGCGAGTACTCATAGATCGGTAATGTGTGATTGTCTGTTAAGTGTGCATCGTTCCGATCTGATGAGTGAAATCCTTTCAAACTTGTTTTCACAGTTTGTTTTTGTTTCGCTATTACACCACTGTCCCAGGTAAAAGGGGTTAGATAGTGTCACATGAACATGTTTGGGATAGCTCAACTGTCTCTCACAAGGCTGTAATTAAGTCATTGTCATTGGAAGCTGTATGTCGTATTTTTTCGTTAATGTATTTTACTTTAATTTGGTCGTTGGTTTTCTCATTTGAATTGTTTCACATGTTGTTATGTCAATGTCTTTATACCTTACTATATTGTATGGGTTTTGCTAATTGTTAAAGGTTACACGGTGACCTTGGTATTGTATGGGTTTTGCTAATTGTTAAAGGTTACACGGTGACCTTGGTATTGTTTGGGTTTTGCTAATTGTAAAAGGTTACACGGTGACCTTGGTATTGTATGGGTTTTGCTCATTGTTAAAGGTTACACGGTGACCTTGGTTGTTTACATCCTCATCCTTAGGTCTCTGGTGGACAGTCATGTCATTGGCAATAAAAAAAAATGTATATCTACTTATGTTAATCAAGTGTTTGGATGATGTCAGTTTCGCTTTGTTGAAAACTGAAAATAGAGACAGAGATGATACCAAAAGGGCAGCCGATTATTTGAAAGCCAAGGATGTATAAGAACCGAAACAGTTGAAGAACTATATGACCGAAAAGGACCTAAAATAATAGCAAAATCCATTTAAAAGTCAGGGAGTTGATTAATAATTTATAAATTTGTAAACGGACAATTTAAGAAAGGTTTGTTATAAATCATGTCAGTACCGAAGTATTGACTACTGAGCTGATGGTACCATCGAGAACTGACAGTCCATCAGCAGAGGTATCGACCCAGTGCTGTAAAAAATGGCCAAGTTGCAGATAATAAAATTTGTAAACTTTTATATAAAAAATTTGATTGAGAAATTCGGATATTGGCAATCAGATTTAGTTATTTCCTTTTTTTTACATTGTTCCACGTTGTTTACTTACCACAACGGTTGTTGATTATTCATTCTTTAACTAAACCGTTCATGCTATATTAAAGTATCAAGTCACGAAGGGAAATAGCCCATATCTTGCTTTTTCACAGATTGTATAAATGATTGACAGCTAAATCATCGTAATCAGTCATGAAATTAATGTGTCATTATGTCACATATTCTGAATTAATTAATACATTTTTGTAATTTTTTTGTTCTCTCCATTAGAGTCTGTTTATATATTTTTTTGTGAGATTCGTGTTGCACAGTCTTGATGAGATTCGTGTTGCACAGTCTTGATGAGATTCGTGTTGCACAGTCTTGGTGAGATTCGTGTTGCACAATCTTGGTGAGATTCGTGTTGCACAGTCTTAAGTTTGTTGCTTAATGTTTTGTCGACTCTTGTTTGTTTTGCCATGATATCATTGGTCATAATGTATTCACTTTGTAGTTAATTATGTTTTTTTCCATGCTCCATTATGTTAAATATTCAATTATAAAAATCAATGTTTACCTGTTTATTTAATTATGAATGATTGCTCTATTTAGGGCACCATGATTCAAAATAATAAAATATGTCTATATCTATTTCTAATGATAATACAAATAAAAAAATAGTTATTTGTTTATATACACTTTCTTTTTTAATCGTCCTTTGAAAAGAAACTTTGCCGTAAGAAGCTCATGCGGCTTGATTGCATGTATTTTTTTATGTTAATCCAGTCATAATAGCATTGGCAATGCTAAACACAAGAAACACTACTTCAAAACCTATCGTTGTTTGCTCGAGCAAAACATGAATGATTGATCTTATTTAGATTGATTGTTATTGTTGTAAATTATCCTCCATAAAAAAAGTAAAACAAAAATATCGAACTCCAAGGCAAACTAAAAAAGGGGAAGTCCATACAAACTAATAAATCAAACGCTGTCAATCAACGGAACAAGTGAAAAATAACTGCCATATTCCAGACTTGATACAAGCAAGTTTCGAGAAATTGGTGGGTTAAACCTGATTATATAGCTACCCAAACCTCCCATTTGTATGACAGTTGTTTATAAACCCCGATTCCTGATAGTGATAGTTAGAATCTTCTTAAAATTCAGAGGAAATCGTATGACTACTAATATAGTATTAAAATTTAACACAATAACCGTGCCGAAAAATAGCCCATTCCCGAACGACTGACTGCCTAGAAAAAGAAATACTGATCAAAGATACCAGTGTTTTCTTCTAACAATACCAAACAGGCGCTTTAAGCAAGACAATGAGCACGCCAAAAGAATTTTGAAAACAAAAAATAAAATATCCTCAGGTGGATTTGGTTACCATTTAGGTCCCTTTTTGTCATAAACAACTCAAGTATTCAAGAAGTTCTTAGTTTTCAAATTTTTGTGTTTGAACTTTCCTGATGAAAGTTAGATCAGGATGAGCGGTTTTTACAAAAAGAACAAAATTTGCATATTTGTTATTGGATAATATTGAGTGCATGCAATTACCAAAAAATGAATTGCATAAAAGTTGTTCAAATAGAGAAACTATTTGGTAAATTAGTTAGTTGGTACTTGCATGCGCTCTATATTTGAGGGTCTAAAAACTATGCAAAAACTGACCAAAATCTTTTGAATTTTTCACGAAAACGCGTAACTAGGCTTTTTTCGTGACGTCAAAACTGCATTAATAGGAACGTCATGGGTAAAACAAATTCTTGGTTTTTAACTTTGCAACATCTCAACTTTTAAACAGACATAATTGAAATCTTTAATCAAAAGTTCAAATCTCAGTAAAAAGTAAGGCAAAATAATGATCTTATCGCACCCTGGTCTTCACAAAAATGACCGTATTCCAAACTATTTCATGTCAGTACAGGAGCGATATCATTGATAGTAAAACTTATGAAGTCACGATTTAAGTCATTCCACCTTAAAAGTCTGTTAGGGCAGTTCTTGTGTCAGGAGCACAGCCGGTCAATAAAGGCCGTATACTGTGAACACACACAAGCGTAACGTTTTAATTGAGATATATTTACCCCATACTATTGGGCAGATGGTATGTTGCTGCTAAGACATTCTATAAGCTGTATTGCTTTTGAATAAAATTTTATTATTATAAATCAGTATTTGACAACTGGAAAGTGGAGATCATTACGTTATTTATATATTTTAGTTTGAAGTCGTCCATCTGCGTCCATCTGCGTAAATCAAATATGGAGGAAACTTTAAGGTTTCGTAAGTTTCCTTCACCACGTTCATTCAAAATATTTAAGATACAATCACTCACAAAAAACAGACTATAATGGCCAAGTGTGACAGTGTCCGAGGGTTTTGAACATCAGTATAAATTGATATTTATACTTTCGTTACATCAGATTCTTACAAACGAATAGTTTTACAAATAATTAATCAAGATAAAAACTATAAGCATTGCAAAAAAATAGCCAAAGTTCTACAGTATTAAACATTTGAATTTTGAAAGTCATTTAGATGCACATTGATTCCGGATTTCGTTTGATTTCTACTTAACAAAAACGCGTAGAATTAGCAGTATTACCGCCAACATCACTGAATTCAATGTCAATTATATAGAGACATATAAAACAATAGTTTTTTTTTTAAGAATGTTAGTTTTTTTTTTATAAAATCAGTATTATATTTTTAGACCTTCATGAGTAAAACAATTCTGAGGTAAATTGGTCATCGCCTTTCGTATACCATTCATGCATTTACAAGTATAAGTCCCAATAAAGTCTGATTATTGTTTAAATTATGACAAACAGCTTACCTTTCCAGCAATGTGATTATTTTGTAAGTTATGAAAAACAGCTTACCTTTCCAGCAATTTGATTATTGTTTAAGTTATGACAAACAATTTACCTTTCCAGCAATGTGATTATTGTGTAAGTTATGACAAACAGCTTACCTTTCCAGCAATGTGACTATTGTGTAAGTTATGACAAACAGCTTAACTTTCCAGCAATGTGATTATTGTGTAAGTTATGACAAACAGCTTACCTTTCCAGCAATGTTATTATTGTGTAAGATATGACAAACAGCTTACCTTTCCAGCAATGTGACTATTGTGTAAATTATGACAAACAGCTTACCTTTCCAGCAATGACGATAACCTGCGAAAATAGAAATATTAACCAACTGAATTCATTCATTATTCATCATGTTCATGGAGCATACATTTCACGTTGTATGTAATTATAAAGTCGATTTCATAAGAATTGCAATGATTTAGTAAGTAACTTGACTTGAATTTCTTATTAGTTTATTCATTTGGTTGAATGCCGCTTGATCATGAAAACTTTATATGTTGGAAATTTGCCTTTTTCTTTCACTAGCTGTACTGCCTATTAGTCTTTAACCCTCTTGTTGCTGCTAATGGACTACTTTCATATTACCAACTTTTGAATCCAGATTTTATAATTTTTCGACAGGTTACCTTTTATGTGGTATCGGTATGACATCCTGGTACTCGGTAAATAGGAGCAAACAAAAGAAGTAAAATCAAACATATAATCGGTGCAATTTGGGGGGAAAGTTTAGTGTTTTTCGAAGATTTTGTCGTGTATAGAAAACATAAAACAGTTAATTTTCCCCCTAAATTGTGCCGATCGTAAGCTTGATTTTACTTCTTCAGGTTGATCTTACTTGACCGAGTGCCAGGATGCCCTACCACAGATAAGATAACCCGTCGAAAAAAAAATATAAACTCCATAGTCAAAAGTCGGTAATATGAAATTAGTCTATTCAATATGGTTACATGTCTTGCTGGACGTCTGTAACGCCACAAGCTATACTACGACGTCATTCAACATATATGACGTCACGCTCAAATGATGTTACATTGGAGATTCTTAAACGACTTTTGAAATTGTGCACTTTCCCGTAGATTTTATATGTAACAATGCTTATGTTATTACGTCACTGTAAGAACCGATTAAGCGGATTGTTCAATGATGTCATTTACACCGATTGGTCTCGGGTCAACCGGTGTAAATAAAGGTAACAGTAGTATACCGCTGTTCAAAACTCATAAATCGATAGAGATAAAAACAAATCCGGGTTACAAACTAAAACTGAGGGAAACGCATCAAATATAAGAGGAGAACAACGACACAACAAAAACACAACATTAAAATGTAACACACACAGAAACGAACTATAATATAACAATGGCCATTTTCCTGACTTGGTACAGAACATTTTAAGAAAAAAAATGGTGAGTTGAACCTGGTTTTGTGGCATGCCAAACCTCCCGCTTTTATGGCAACGTCAAACACAACACCAAAAACGACAACATCACATGACAGGACCACAATACAAATAAATGGGAGAACATATAGGACAAAGAAACACACGAATAATAGCTAACAAAAGGTACTAGGCTTAAAATACAATACGCCAGACGTGCGTCTCGTCCACACAAGACCAACCAGTGACGTTCAGATGAAAAAAGTTTCAAAGCCAAAACAAGTACAAAGCTGAAGAGCACCGAGGACCAAAACTTCCAAAAAGTTGCGCCTAACACGGCCAGGGTTTTCTGCCTGGGACAAGAACATCCTTATTATTTAGAATAATTTATAATTTTGCAAACAGTAACTCGTTCATAAAAAACAACTCGAGATAGGGATATTGAAGAAAGATAGTACACTGTATAATCGTAAATAAAGGCAACAGTAGTATACCGCTGTTTGAAATTCATAAATCGATTGAGAAAAAACAGTAAATGTTTTATCTGAAAGATGTTAAGTAATGAACAGATGCTGCGTGACATATTTAATATTTGGACAGTAAGAGGTTTATATCATTGCGTGCATTCATACATTTATGAAAAAGTGAAGAATAAACGGATAAACATAATGATTGGTGTACAAACCGCTACTCAGAAATCTAAAGACTGAGCTACATCAACTTTTAAAACACAACACTGGGGTGGATATAAATATAAAAATAAGAATATGTGGTATTATTGCCAATGAGACAACTCTCCACAAGAGACCAAATGACATAGAAGTTAACATTTATAGATCACAGTACGGCCTTCAACAACGAGCAAAACCCATAACGCAAGCCCTGGAATACTGTATTAATATTAACCCTCGATTCCTTTATCAATTGCATTACATAATGCGATTTCCACATACAACAATATTGATCAGTATTGTGAGGAAAACAGTATAGTGTTCATTGATCCAGTAAAGGTTTAAATTCTGGTTTGTAACAGCTTCCTCGCAGAATTAACCAAATCGAGTGTAAATGACATCTACTAATGTTTGCCCAGTGGCTAGCATAATTCTCGATATAATACATTAGTATTGTAAAAATAGGTTTACAGTTTATGGATTAAGGTTTCCGATCCTATGGTTAATTACCATTGTAATACAATTCGAAGAGGAGGCTGTCGGCAAAATAAAAATATTGAGATCCTGCAACACGTAAAATTTTTCGAAGTTTGGGGTTCCGGTGTATGATGTGGTTCAATAAGCTCAATCTTTTATAATTTTTCTGTTTTGGTTATTTAGAGACGCTGCTTATCTATTTTTTCTTTTGGTCTTGTTGTTGCCTGTCTGTCAACGATTCGTGGTTTTAATTGTCCCATTTAATATCTCCTACCCTTTTAACGACAAACAAATTGATTTAAAAAAAGAAATCCCGGAACAGATTGTTTGTTAAAATTTCATGTGTGTAGATTTGAGCATTCAAAACGAAAGGCAGTATTTGTATTGACTTTTAATTTTCATCAAATCTGTTTTTCCTTTATGAAATGTCAAGCATACAAAATGCATTCGTAATAGATTGAAATCCAAAAATGGTATTGTAATAATTTATTTTTATTTTCAAAAATCTGCATAATTCAAAACCAAACAAAAACAAAACAAAACAAAAAGCAAGCAAGTTATTCAAACAACAGTTTTATAAAATATAATTTGGTAAATTAAAAAGATAAATGTAAAATAAAATTTTAAATTAAATATCAAAGCTTACCATCATAGTTATAATACAATGGAAATCCATATCTGGCGAATTAAGGGATGAAGGGAAGCAGTTTAAATCCAACACACGACCTCTTTACGCTGATTTCTCTGGAATTGTTCCACCCATTAGAGGTCTGTTAAAACTGACATTGAATAACAATAAAACATCAAATAAACCATAAAACCTACATCTGACATTTGTCTAATAAATTCTTGTATGTTCAGTCAAGCGTGTCTACCTTTGTATTACCTATATGACAATTTTGTGATTGTTTTACATTGTTATAGCAATACCGCAAAACTAAATTATTATTTATGACACAATTAATTATTGAAATATATTCTTTAGGCGCTAAGTATCAATCGTTTTCTATATAACAAATTCTGTCATCATTTCTTATTTTTGAGCATCATAAAATCAAGCCTGAACTCTTTAAAATTTGTGTTAAAAAACGGGGTTTACTGCTTTAATGTTAACTTTCGATTACTATTAATTTTTCAGTAAAAAAAGTGAGACAAAAAAATTCCCCTTTATTCATTTCACACAGACGATATTTTTCAAAACATCCTTCCATCTTTTTAAAATTCACAGCATGATAGACTCATAATTATGTGTACATAAAGTTTTTTTTACATTACTTTGGCGTATTAAGATATCCTTTATTAAAATACATCCTATAATCAGAATTAAAAAAAAAACATGTGAAATTTGGAAAAGAACACTTAAAAGAAGATTTCAAACGCTACACATTCTGTATGAATAAAACAAGACTCGGGGTATACGTTATTCAGAAAAAAAAAATCAACAGTCTTTAAGAAATACTCTCTCATAAAATTTCTCTTTTCAGTTTTTACCGACCAGATAACATTTTTACAGAGCTGGGCCTTAGGCGTGTGGTAAATCGTGAATACTGAAATGTATCTTTCACTTTCACACATACATAATGGATGATTAGGTAATACTAATACAAGTTAAATGATGTTGTTATAGATGATTTATCATATGACAAATGGTTTACATGATATGAAAGTTTTTATAAGAGCACGAAAGTCAATTAGATATTAGTAATGACATGCGTTAAGGTTATCCTCTGTCAGCTCGATGATAAAAATGTTCAGATGTGAAACAAATAACGAAGATTTATGGAGAAAGGATTAAAATAAGTGTTACATGTACAATTTCTGCCTACCTTTTGCTCGTTGGGTTCCTTAGTATACTGCTAAAGAAATAAAAAAATGTAACCGCATTTGTTATACTAGATGACTGTTTTCAGATAAAAAAAATTGTTTTTTTTGTTAAAGATTATGGGGAAGCACCCTAAAAATAAACAAAGATGATTTAACAATGAAGAGTTATTACCATGAATAACGATGAGTGTATTCCTTTACATATAAACACCAACGAGACAAGCCACAAGACAAACCACAAACCACATTTATTTATTACATTACTCCGACTGATATCATTCAATTTACAATGAAACGAAAAAAGATACACAACTCTTTGTTTGATATTTGAAAAAGCCTGAAAACCCAGAGAATGCTCTGAACTAGTATACATTATTGTTTAGTGGCCGGCTGAAGCCCGCCTCCGGCTGCGGGATTTTCTCGCTATGTTGAAGACCCATTGGTGGCCTTGGGCTATTTTCTTCTCTTTTGTCGGGTTGTTGTCTCTTTGACACATTCCCCGTTTCCATTCTCATTTTTACCTACAAGGTACACGCGTTTCTCGTTTAAATTCTGTAAATCAATTTTAAACATGAAATGTTGAGTACAGACGGCACTTCAAGCTATCTTGTGATATGATATACTAAGTGTAAAGAGTATAAGAATCAAAGTCTTAGCGATATAATATTTTATGAATTACTTTTCAATAAAATTGCACAAATTTAAAGTTCCGTCAATTTTTATAGAATCTTAGCGCCACTTTAAAAGTTCGGAAATAAAAAAAAAAAAAAAAAATATTTTCGAAGCTATCAATGTTCAAAGGAAAATGAATGTAAATATAAAAAAAAGATGTGGTATGATTGCCATTGAGACAACTCTCCACAAGAGACCAAATGGCACAGAAATTAACAACTATAGGTCACCGTACGGCCTTCAACAATGAGGAAAGCCCATACCGCATATTCAGCTTTAAAAGGCTCCAAAATGACAAATGTAAAACAATTCAAACGGACTAATTTATGTACAAAATAATGAACGAAAAACAAATATGTAACACAGCAACAAACGACAACCGCTGAATTACAGGCTCCTGACTTAGGACAGGCACATACAGAATGTGGAGGGATTAAACATGTTAGCAGGCGCCCAACCCTCCCCCTAACCTGGGACAGTGGTGTAATAGTACAACATAAGAACAGACTATAAGAATAAGAATAAGAATAAGAATAAGAATATTTATTATACCTCAGTATGTTTTTTCTATATAAAAAAAATTAAATATTTGTGCTATTTCATTCCACAGACTATTTGCCAGTCAATAGTTTCAAAGACTATTAACCCGGTCAATAGTTTTATAAACATATTTCCCAGACTTTTTCAAATTTTTTTTTCATTGGACAATAATGACGTCATTGAATATTCTGCTTGTATTTGTGCTCTTGGCAACGTTAAACTCTGAAATATCGTAAACGGTATAATCTGCATGTATCTGTCGTCGTTATTTCGAATAAATATTTTACTTACCAGAAGCAATTTAAAAAGAAAAAGAAAAATCTACATGACATATTTTAAGAATTAAAACATTACAAATACATGGTATGGGTCTGTCGTCGTCTTCGTCATACGTGATTGCTTTGGTGTATGCATGGTAATATATATTTAGCTAGCATTTATTATATATAAGCGAATTTTTACACAAAGATTCCTGATCTTGATTAAAGTAAATAAGATATTGACAAATACCACACGGGCAAATTTTTGATTTTTTCCCTCTTCTTTAGTAAATTGTTTGAAGAATTTAGTGGTAGGTTTGTTTGTTATTTTATGTAGTTCACACCATGAAAAGTTATAGATCAAGTTAGAATTTTGTTCCATCACACTGAATTTTTAACCGGTAGGGGACTATATTGCCATGCAATACTCACAGAATGCTTGTTTTTCCAAGTGGTGTATGTAGTCTTTTTAGAAAATTGTTTTTTTTTTCGGTATAATAAAACACTTAATGACTGTTTATGAGGGTAATAGCAAGTTTGTTGTCCCTTTGATACTAACTATTGCCCTCGGCTTCGCCTCGAGCATTAATTGGTATCTCAGGGACAACAAACTTGCTATTACCCTCATAACCAGTCAATAGGTGTATATTATTATTCCAATCAAGGGCCCTTGATGGGCAGCATAACATGTACACATAAAACAATACATCATGATTTGTAACAGAAAAACATTTTTATATATTAAAATGAAACATTAAAAAGTTCAGACAAATGTTATTATCTTCGTTCTATAAAAATCACATACATTTAATTCCAGGCAGGATCAGAACTATAAAATCGTTACAATTATCATTGTTATTACATACATTAATTAACATTTCGTCTAACATCTAGACATGTAATAATATAGCTCCCTAAATATTTAAGTATAGACAAATTTTCATTAGTAAATAACCAAACAAATTTTGCCTCATTTGAAAGATATATAAAATTGGGACAGATACAGTTTATCTCCTTGAAAAATATCTCCCTATCATTATTGTATGCTGGACAACTAGTAATAAAATGTTGTTCATCTTCAACCAGATTTAGAGTACATTTCTTACAAAGCCTTTGGTCTCTTTCTATATATAAAGTTTTATACCTGTCTCTTTCTATTTTGAGATCATGTGCACTGATTCTGATTTTACATATGGCACTTCTCAAATCTGTTGAAAAAGGCTTAGCTCATCAGATGGATACAAATAGAAATACATCTAACAAAAACACAGAGTAAACGTGGACGGGTACTTGTACATCCAAACAACAAAAAGACACTAAGTACATATCTGAGAGTACTCGCAGTTACTGACAGATAGTTCAAAGCCAATAACAACTAACAAAACAAATCATGCATCTAAGACTAAATTAACAATCAGTACACATCCAACATCCAATGGATTTAGTATAAAGACGTCATAAACGGTCAGAGAAAAACATGACTGTGCAATGCCATATACAGGTATAGACAGATTGTAGATCCATGAATGTGTATATGTATATAACAATAATATTTATTTTGCTTTTAATTTACTGATAACAAAATCAATATTAATACCAATAAAAACAATATTCAAAGATCTAATTACAGTGTTGAATTGGTAATCTTTTAGAATAAGTTTATTTAAAGGTAAGTTTACCCGGATCGTTCCTAAATTCCCTGGCTCGGTAAACAACATCTTCGTAAAAATGAGGATATGCTATCCCGTTTGAAATAAGTTTTCTACAGGTACAACCAAACTTCAAAACCAAATCTTTATATCTATGGAAGAATTTAGTAAAGGTTTTAAGTAATTTGTTGTAACGAAGAAATTCCCGACTTAATAATTTACCAGTAACACATATATTACGTTCATTCAATGTAAGACCTTTTCTGTATCGTATGCCTTTAACTTCAAATTTTAAGTATAAGAATATTAGTTGTTAAGCAATATTTTGCCTTCGAAAAAAGACCATGCATATCCTCTTCTAATAACAATAAGTTTGCATTGAATTTCATAGCAAAGGCGGTAAAATTTTAGCTTTAAATAGAATTTCTAAGAGAAAATTTTACAAAAAGTATTACATGTAAAGACATAAAAAGAAAACATATTAAGTAATGTTCGTCATGAACAATTACATGATCTTTTTTGTAATGATTCATCTTAAATGGAACTTATCTGTCTACACAGCTACTTTAGTACAAGCAATCTTGATAGCGTAAAAACTGTATACTACTTGAGATGCATATAAACTGTACATCTGTAAATCTGTATATAAAATTCATATCCGTTGAGATGCATTTAAACTGTACAAATGTCTGTGAAAATGTCCATTAACCCTAGCCTGTTTCTGTAAATATGCATATACACAGTTAATATTTATCTTTACAAATTTACAAATGTACAGTTTATATGTGTCTTAACAGATGTACATCAAGATGGCTTGACTAAAGTAGCTGTATAAAACAGTGGATATTTTCTCAAACAATGTTAAGTATAACACTCGACAAT